GAGGAGGAGGAGGAGGAGGAGGAGGAGGAGGAGGAGGAGGAAGAGGAGGGTACAATACCTTCGTTGGTAAACCACACCGACTGCTTGAGGGAGAGGGAGACCTCCAGCTTCTCCTTTCGCTTGATGGGGTCGTTCCAGACACGCAGCTTCCTGTTAGAATACACAACAGGAAGCACGCAGGCGGCGGCAGCGGCGGCGGTCGAAACACGCGGGGGCGGAGAGACAGGGGGATGCTGGTCACGTGGGTCTCTTCGTGTCGTTGGCGACGAGGTGTGGTGGCGGAGGTCGATGGTGATGATGCTACCGACGCACAAACTTCCAAGGCTTGCCCATGGGGTAGCGCGGAGCCTCAGGGAAGAAATATGAAGAAGGTGTCACAGTGGTCATTAGCAGCTGAAAAAAAAAAAAGGAGCAACAGATGAATATGGCGACGCCCAGAAGAACACAAGCCTTTGGGTATGATTTTCGGCATGGATTGTGGTGGTGGCACGAAGGCACCGCGCGTAAAGCCCAACTCGCCACGAGGCCGCATCAGCGCCTTCCTTGAAGAAATTCACTTCTTCGTCTACAGACCTGCACACCAAAAAAATAGCGTGGTCTGTCTGTCACAATACAGACTGTTCAATTGCCGCGAGAGGCGGAGAGATGACACGTCTCCTAGACCGGGTTCCAAACCTCGATTGCGCCACAACCAAGATTATCTGTACCGCACCGTACACCGTACCGTGGTATTCCGTAAGAGTCGGAGAGATGGCACGCCCCTTAGACCGGGTTCCAAAGCTCGATTGCTCCACCACCAAGCGGGTGCGGAAAGAGACCAATCGTTCTACGCTAAGGTCCGGACCAAACGTTTCCAAAAACACAATTTCCGGTATTGGCGCAAGGTTGGTTGTGGCGCCATCGAACCTTTGAACATCAGACTAGGGTTGGGTACCATCTCCCATCAATTACGGTCTCCTCTCAACACAGCAAGGTGTGTGATGCATCTTCAACCAAGAGCCGCGCGGGCACAAGCACACACGCGTCTGCTTCAGAAGCAGTACATGGTAGGCACGCAAAGATCCCAAAACAAAAAAACAGTGATGCACGCACGCACACATACGGGCGTCTCCTATTTCAGAACAACGGGTCCGTACGTAACTTCGCCTGACTCACCACGACCTCGAACGGTCAATACCCCACAAAATGGACAAAAGAGAGGAGGTGGTACAAGGGTGCCGAGCTTCATTTTCAAAATCCCAAGAGGATAGGAATTGGTCGGCACAACACCGCCTCATGCGCCATGGGTGGCTGAGAGGGGGGCCCGCGGCTACAATTAGACTCACCGCCCCCCCGCCCTGTTGGCGTTGGCCATCGCCGCCAGCATCCTGGCCCCCAGTGGCACGTCCTCAACGAGCGAGTTGCACCCTTCCACGTTGTTGTTGCCCCTCGGGAACTCGATCACCTATAGAGGGGTGGAGGGGGAGGGGTGGTGAGTGTTTGACCGAAACACATCGGTGCATACTCATACGTGAGTGCATACAGACTGCCCAGTGAGCAAAATTCGAGCATGCACCGCAGAACGCGCAGCAACAATAACAGGACAGCAGCAGCAACAGCAGCAGCACAGCAGCATCAATATCACAGCAGCGGAAACTACAGAGCAACAGCACAGCAGCAGCAACAGCACGGCAGCAGCAACAATCAAGGATGAGCGAGTACCTGGTTCGGGGCGCCGACACGACCCCCTTCGAACGGCGAGGTTACGCCGAACACCTGCTGGAGCACCTCCTTCGCCGCCTCTCTGTGGCGGCAAAACACAAAAGCACAGGCCAAGCAAGAGAGAGGAAAACACGATTGACATCACGGATCAATGCACGCACGGGAAGCATAGTAGGCGGGACGCGTGGTGTCGGTCCGCCGAAACGCCGCCGCGCTTAGAAACAGGAAACAATGAAGGAACAAGAAGGACGAACAGCATTCACCCACTACTCACTTCACCAACTCACCCGCACACTCACTCACCTACATGCTCACTCCCCGACCCGCCCGATCACCCACTCCTTCACTCACTTACTCAACCAAAATTTCACTCATCCATTCACTGAATGACTCACTCACTAGACGCACTCAAATCGCTCACTTCCCCAACCCACCCAACAACTGACTCCATCTGCACCATCTGAATGATTGGCCCAGATCACCCACTAACTCACTCGCCAAGAATCTACTCACCCAGTCACTTGACTTCCTCACTCACGCACCCAACCTACTTCACAAGCTCACTTCACAAGCTCACCAACCCAACTGACTCACCTAACCAGGCTGCCTGACCACCCCCTCCCTCACATCATCGATCATTGGCGCAGTCACCAACTCGCACACTCACGCATAAACCCACTCACTCGCTCAGCCTACTTACCACCCACCCACTCCCCCCCCCATAAACTCTCATTACCTCACTCACTCCCCTTTCTCTCCTTCGCTCAACCACTCTACTCAATCGCTTAGGGCGCACGCCAGCCATTCACAAATCGCAAGCCGATCACCCGCCCGCCCGTCACTTGCCTCTCTCCCGACATCTCGAGCTGCACCATGGGCGCATCCGTAACCGCGTAGGCGCAGCCGGCCCTCTCCTCCAGCAGCACTCGGAAGAGCTTCATGTTGGCCTTAGTCAGAGGAACGTCTACCGTCTCCACATCGCCAACGCCTGGTACGCCCTCACTGGAAATCTGCGGAGGCGGCGTTGTTGGTGATGTATAGTATATCGTTGCGTGTCGCATTCTCAGCCAATTCGCGAGTCGAATGGTGCACGAGGGGGAGGGCGTTATAATCGTTTGCTTCTGCGCATGCCTCATAAAAGGATCGAATCCGCAAACCGGTTGGCCAATGAACATGGCGGGAGTGTCTGCGTGTCATGTTGGGGATAGAGCGCGGGTTTTTGTGCTTGGAAAACTGTAGGGATGGGCGGGGGTGTAGGGCGTGCTGCATGTAGGGCATGCTGCATGTAACGCGTGCTGCATGAACGATTTTCGCCCACTTTCTCGTCACTCACTAACGTTCGTGGTTTCCTTATTTCGCGCGCTGCTACTTCTTGTGGATGTCTTCACACAAAATAAACGTGCCTTCGCTCCGTACTAGTCAAACACTTGACGCGGTCGATTCCCGTGGTCACAGGCCAACTTACCAAAAAAAAATACTACGCATGGAAAATGGGGAACCGGTTTCCGATCGAGAGGCAGGACAATAGTCCAGACCTCGTGCTAGCATTGGACGGTTCTGGCGGGGGCGGCCGCATGTGTCCGATTTCACAACAGCAGCAACAACAACAACAACAACAACAACAACAACAACAACAACAACAACGACAGCAACAGCACTGAGATAGCTGCCTCCCCCCCCCTGCGCACCTTGCCCTTGACGTCTGCCCACGACCGCTTGTCCTTCGCGCCGCCCATCTTCAAGATCTTCAGGTGAGACTCGGCCGACCTCCGAGACATCACCAGGCACACCCGCCGCTGGCCTATCGGCAGTCTATTTCTGCGCCAGCAAACATCCGAGACACGCAACAAGAGAGATGGATGTGTGGTCAAGAGAGATGATCAGTGAAGCAGCAGCGCGAGACTCTGCGCCAACGTGACTCGAACAAAATTAAAAAAATAAGCGCAAGATATGTAGTCGGGGGGGGGGGGACTGGGGTTGACAAGACGGCCGAACATCCTACATGTACCAAGAGCCGACGGCACGCCGCCAATCTAGAAACCGACCCCGCGGCGCGCTCAAGCCGGCCTCTCCCGCGTTCCTTCAAGGCCGCGGGGAAAAACGTGGCGCGGGTTGTCGTCCATTTAGGAGGTTTGTCACACCATTGGTGGGTCAAAACTACAGGGATACGTGCAGCCGTGTAGTCTTCGTCCACCCCTGCGGAGAAAACTCTCTGGGGGAAACGAAGACAAGCGACGCACACACACTCACCGTAAGATATATGTACACTCACCGAAAAAACAACCAATCACGCACGGATGCATACCATGGCATACAACATATACGGTACACACATGCACACAGGCATACATACATAGGCACCAACACACGTGCAACCATACGGAACATACATGCATAGGTTCTGGAAGACGCGCTGCCTTCGAACCCAACGGGCGAACCTCTGCATTTGCGTAGCCACCACCCTTCACAACACCAACAACATTCCGATCGTGTACAAGGAAAAAACACACACAGCACACACAGCACACACACACACCTCCCGCCCACTTCGTTGTGGGCGTGCTCCCAACCCTGGCGCTCCGCGTTGGTCGGCGGCGTGACCGAGTACACCACCGCCGCTATCGGGTCCGAGTCGGCGTCGACCTCCTTGCTGAAGAACCCGTTGCTGCCGCCCTCCCCTTCCTCCTCCTCCTCGTCGTCCGTGTAACCACCTCCCATCAGGCCCAGCCCCAGCCCCCCGCCCAGGCCGTCAAAGATGCCGCCGTCAACCAACCGCTCCCTCTTCCTGCCCCCCGCCTTCCGATCCGCGGCACCCCCTCCGCGTTCGACACCTTCCTCCTCCTGGCTGCCGTGCACCCCCCCGACCTCTCCTTGGGAGCCTTCCTCCTCCTGTACGTCACCCTCCACCTGGTGCACAGGGGAGGAGGCTTGCGGTGACGGTGGAGGTGGCTCTCGAAGGTCGTTCATGGCGTGCCAGAGGCGAGAGCTGGCGGCGAACGGCCCCACGCTGGTCCGGCTGGGGGTCTGGTAGACGAACTTAAAGAAGGGCTGAAGCGGCCGCATGCTGATCTCCTTCATGCCCGGATACACTTTTCGGGGGGAGGAGGGGGGGGGGGGGGGGGGGG